AAACACAAGGTTGGTAACAACAAAGAAGAATTCTGACTGCAAATCAAATGAAAGAATATGTATTTCTAGAAAAAGTGTTTTTTTTTTTTTTTTTTTTACTAAGTTTGCAGCCTCAATCTCCTCCCGCAGGCTATTCCAAAAGTCCTGCAGCCTTGTCTGCACAGGCTCAATCACCTTTGTGTATCAATCTGGACCTCATAACAACAAGGAGGGACGCAAGTGACAATCTCAGGGAGCGGAAGGCGACACAGGGCAAGGAGAGATCTGATAAATAACTTGGTGCAGGGCCTCTCAGGGCTTTGTAATCTTGTCTGAGGAGGCTGTGAGGTGTCTCTTATTTTGAAACATCTATATAGATGCACCTCTGTCTTCTATTTTTCTCCCTCTCTCAAAAAAGGTTTTAGTTTCCCTGCACAAACAAAGCTGAACAAATTGCCCTGAACACACTCTTATTATTCATCTGCATTATGTTACATAATGAAGCCTATATGCGCCTATCTCTGCAGCTTAAAACAAATTTGCCTTCATCACTTATGTTTTTCCAACTCTCTGGGTCTTAATTGTATTTCCTTTTGTATTCTGAGCATGAAGTTAGTCTAAACCTGAAGTCTTTTAATGGTTTAAAGACACTTTATATAATATACAGCAGCTCAAGTTTAATGTTTGATTATTCAGTGTTGGTTGTCAAATAAGACGCATATTAAATATACAATCTCATTCCTGTTCAAGCATGAAAAGAGGCTTGCATGGCTACAAGCAACTATACTGTCAGTAATAATTAATCATATAGAATGAAAGCTCTGATGCAGTGAAGCAGCTGAGAGCATTACCTCAAGCTTATGAAGGCTGAGCATAAAAGACATTTTTTTTTACCCATCACAAGGTTAGAACTAACTGATAAGTTCACAGGCTAACAGGATGCAGAAATGGTCAACAGGGCAGCCTTCAGGACAGGAGTGTTTACAAATCAGCGAGTGTTTACTCTAAAGGGAAAGTGGTGCCAAGAGCCCCTACCTAAAATATTAACTAACAAGGCCGGGAAGGTCAATTCCAGCCAAGATGCAACACTTTTTAAAGAAATTCATCATTCGGATTATGTGTAGGATGGAGGTTTTATTAATGGCCAACGAATGAAGGATGAAAATGCAGAGCCAGAGGTCTCAGCATGGAGAGAAATTAGAGAGTAATATTTCAAGTGCAATTTGTGTTGACACTCTGAGAGGCAAATTTCAAGACTGTGATCTTATAAGAACAACATCAGAAGTTATTTTACTAAACACACAGCATATTTTTACATTCAAGTCTTGATAAATAGGACTCATCTCATGAGGGACAACAGGTGAAATTATGTGTTTATGGGTTAAAGTGTTAGAAAAGAGTTAGATAAATTAACCGTTTAGGTTGAACATCTTTCTCCATTATTATGATTAATCTTTAACCATATCTGGTAGGTTATTCGGAGGGGGTGCCGCTGTTGTACTTGAGTTCAGGAATTAATGAGAACTAACCTTCTAAAATACAGGCCTTTTTGATGTGGGATTTTGCTTGAAATGCATGTTCATAATAAAATGAGTGTATCTATGTAACTACAAGGTCTACAAGAAGGAATTTGCTGACATGTTTAGGCCAAGCAGTGTCTTTGTTTGCTGGACTTTGGTCATTTTTGGCTTCTTTCTCTGCCATGATTCTGTGTAGCCGTGGGTGTTATGTATCTTGGTAGTGTGCTCTTTCAAATGAGCGGTAGCTGATGTGTTTTGGATATTGTACTGTAGTATTAGTGAGTCCACACAGAGGTGCTTCATTAAGTTTGATATTTAGTTGTTTATTTGAGTTGAGTTTGAGTTTATTTGTTTGGGCTGTGTTTTGGTCATACAAACATGGTTTTTACACCATGTTGGCCAGCTTCTACTGTTTAATTTGACATATTACATGACAATATTCTTTCAGAAATAGCGCAGTGGTGGCTCTGCGATTGTTCTGCATTAGCTAGGGGACCCTGGTTTTTATACGACACTGGAGTTCTACAGGGATCAATCCTCAGACCAATGCTGTTTACTTTAAATATAATAATGATGATCCCCTAATCTGCCCAGAGGTCCACATTCAGACGTATGCAGATGGCGCAGTTGTTTACACACATGCTCAACCACAAGGACAAGCTGCTTCCAATCTCTTCCTCAGATTGGTAAACTTTTAGTTTCCAAACTCTAAACATGAGCACAAAAGTGTGTCTGTACCTCTCCTGACATGACAGTTAAAACAGAAGTGATAACAACTACAAACAAAGTTCCTGGGCCTAACCTGTGCCCGTGCTAAAATGTTAGCATTAGCGAGCAGCAGCACAAGCAACCCTAAATCAAAAATGTGTTCCTAGGCCTGTCACGATAACAAATTTTGCTGGACGATAATTGTGCTACAAATTATTGCCGATAAACGATATTATTGACACAGTTTTTTAAATTATAGATAATGATATGAAATGGCATAATAATGCGAGTACACCGTGTCAAAAGTGATAAACTTTAATTTTACCTACGACGAAGACGTAACGTTGACGAGCTAAACATAAGTCGGAGATGACTAAAATGTGACGAGATGAAAGTGCATTTACGTTGATGGGACGAGACAAAAATGACGAACACGGTTGGAAAACTCAGTCAGTTAAACGCTAAACATATAGGAGCAGCTTCAGTCCGCTCTGACAGCTCTAATCATCCTGCTGTGCTCCTCCAACACGCAGACACACATGAGCGCGCACACACGTGGAGTTATGTGGTTGACGAAAACAAAACTGGTTTAGAGCCGAAATATTCCCACACTTGGGCTGTTGCGTTCGGTTTAGACACCAAAGCTGTCGTGTTCATTCTGTTAGCTTGCTTTTCACTCACTACGCTCACTTGCAGCACTGTATCCAAAAGTCTGTGTCTGTGTGCCTGTGCGCGCCTACGTGTACCTGTGCGCGCACCCCCCCGTGACAAAGATACTGAATGACTGACAGGAGGGTTCACTAACTCCGTTCATTCCGCTATAGAGCCAACGCCCCCAGGTGCCGAGAAAAATGCGCAGAGTGAGACCTCTTCTCTCATCCAGCGTGTTTGGTAGCGAGAGAGGAGGAAAACAAACGCACGTCAATTATCGAGGCTGGCAAAATGACCGACCTCGTTTTCATTTACCGAGCGATAAGGTGATTAATTGATTATCGCGACAGGTCTACGTGTTCCCATTACAACATGAAGAATAGTGGTGTGTCGGTCTTGAACGAACGGATCAAAAGAACTAGTTCTTTTTGATGAACGAAATGAACTAGTTCTCCCCCCCTAAATGACCCGTTCAATCCGTTCAGTTCTTTTGATTGGCTGAAGAGGGACTGCTTGCCTGTCTTATCCTATCGTCGCGCCTCGTTCTGTGTGTGGGTGGGGCTTAGAGAAGCAGCAGCAGTACTAATGAGCTGACTGAAAGACCGGAATGACCGAGTTGACTGAAAGAACGGGTCAAATGAACGAAAGACCGAGTTGAACGAAAGACCGAGTGAACGAAAGATCCAGACGGATGAACGAGTTGAACGAAAGACCGAGTGAACGAAAGACCGAGTTGAACGAAAGACCCAGACCGATGAACGAGTTGAACGAAAGACCGAGTGAACGAAAGATCCAGACGGATGAACGAGTTGAACGAAAGACCGAGTGAACGAAAGATCCAGACGGATGAACGAGTTGAACAAGAGACCGAGTGAACGAAAGATCCAGACGGTGAACGAGTTGACTGAAAGACCGAGTTGACTCGCCGCCGCACGAGGCCCGACAGCCGAGCCGGAGCGAGCGGGACAGTCACACACATACAAAGGCACACAGCTGCTGCAGCAGCCAGAGGCAGAGAGACAACTATTAATACGCATTTGCACTGTCTGTTGACATTTTGTACTTTTTATTATTGTTTTTAATGCACCTCAAAATAATAAAAAACCATTAAAAACCTTATATATAAGGTATATATATATATTTTGTTACTCCTACTATAATTTTATATTACAAGTAGTGCAGTGCGATCGCAGCGTTGGACCGGGGTGGGAAGTGGAGAGTGCAGCGGTCACAGCGTCGGACCGCGGGGGGGGGGGGGGGGGGTAATGACGACTGACTAATGACCGAAATGACCGAAAAGAACGAACTGAACGGGTCTTTTTACTGAACGACCCGAAATGATCCGGTTCACTGAAATGACCGGTTTTGCCCACCACTAATGAAGAAGTTTCTGGCTTCCACGACATCTACGGCCTGTTTAATTACTACCATACCTTACTGTAATGTTTGGAGCCATGGCTTTGTGGTTTATATGAAATATGTTTCATGAAATACTGAGCAGACATGTTACAGCAGTCTCTCTAATACAGAAAACAACTGAAAACAACCTATATGAAGAGCAAGTGGAAATAACAGTGATGCCTCTGTATCAGGTGCTAACCATGGGCAATGATCAGACAATTGTTTTTAGAGGAGATAAACAATGTCTTGAAATGTTTTTATCAATACATTAAAACCACAGCAGAGTCCTTCTGTCTAATGTGACAGAGATTTGTTTCCATCTCTGTCCATTGTCAAATTGGCTTTAACTTTTGTTATTTGGAAGATAAGTTCTTTGTATTCAACGCAAGCATTACAAAAAACACAAACAGAGATGTGCAGAGAAGCCAAGATTTCTGAGTTACTTACAGCTAATTTCAACTTCCTGTCATAGTCAGACACCTGGGCATGGCTGTGTGACAAAAACTTCAGTTTGTTTGTGATTTCATTTTGTACAGTTGGCCCAGTCTTTTGTCTCTTGAAAAAGTAATGACCATAAAGGATTTTTTTTGGGAAGAAATACGTCTTTTTAAGTTTTTATTACGGTAAACTCCTGTACATTGAACCATAAATTATACAGATGATGTGTAGTGTATTGGAATCCATACATTGGTGTGAAGGAATGTATATGTGATTATCTTTTATTAAGGATTCATAAACAGGTTTGGTTAGGCTTGATTGTGCAGTCTGAGGTTGTATAACCCAGGCTATGTTAAGGGAACCATAACTTATAGGGTTGCCAAAACACTTAAGGCTAGTTTCTACGAAGTCCAAGAATAATCCAAACAATGGGTGAATTTCAGAACACCGAGACGTGTCCTTGGATGACCTCCTGGTGAATAGATATATAACAGGTAAAGCACACACACACACACACACACACACACACACACACACACACACACACACACACACACACACACACACACATACAGAAGACTCATGCATGCTCTCTTACTGCAATACACATATAAGGGGTGCACTCTAGTACACAAGCAATACACAATCATTGTATTCAGATACGCACTCAGTAGTATTAAAGGGTGAGCGAGAGAAGCCTGGGGCCACTCTCCTTTGGTTTGGTCAAGACTCTGTTCATCATCTGTATTGAATCTACAATAAAGATGCTCAGGCTGCTCTTCAGATCTCATCCTGTCTCCTGTGCATTGTTTTGCCGTATACCATAAATATTTGCCACAACTATAGTATGTAATTCTAACAGGGTAAGCTAAGATCCCTCCCCTCCACCAGAATACTACTACAAAGCAAGCTCAACAAACCAAATCATTCTTTGAGTAAAGCTGGCCTGACAAAACCTTAAGCTCCAGTTAGAGATACAGGGCAACAAGAAGCTGGTAATGAACTTACTTTGACAACTCACTTTCTTTAGGCTACAATGAACATAGTGTTAATTCAGGCAGGCCACAAATCAAGCTTAGCCCAGGAGTCATCAACTGACCTGAACGCCAACTCATATCAGCTGACAACCCAGACACTAACCTTCTACGTTACCTCCAATTGGTGAATGTCAAAACAGGCAGACTTCTCCATCATGCGTACTCTTGCTGCTTCCTCCAGAAGCTGCCAGGTTACCCTCCTCCTCCCTAGGTTGGGCTGGACGATTATGGCAAAGATAATAATCATGCTTATTTTGACTGATATTGAAATCACGATCAAAAAACACGATTATTCATTGATTTGAAAACTTAAGTATTAATTGAACCACCAATACTTAACTTCAAATATACACTCACCACTTTATTAGGTACACCATGCTAGTAACGGGTTGGACCCCCTTTTGCCTTCAGAACTGCCTCAATTCTTCGTGGCATAGATTCAACAAGGTGCTGGAAGCATTCCTCAGAGAGCTTGGTCCATATTGACATGATGGCATCACACAGTTGCCGCAGATTTGTCGGCTGCACATCCATGATGCGAATCTCCCGTTCCACCACATCCCAAAGATGCTCTATTGGATTGAGATCTGGTGACTGTGGAGGCCATTTGAGTACAGTGAGTTTATGACATGGCGCATTATCCTGCTGAAAGTAGCCATCAGAAGTTGGGTACATTGTGGTCATAAAAGGATGGACATGGTCAGCAACAATACTCAGGTAGGCTGTGGTGTTGCAACGATGCTCAATTGGTACCAAGGGGCCCAAAGAGTGCTAAGAAAATATTCCCCACACCATGACACCACCACCACCAGCCTGAACCGTTGATACAAGGCAGGATGGATCCATGCTTTCATGTTGTTGACGCCAAATTCTGACCCTACCATCCGAATGTCGCAGCAGAAATCGAGACTCATCAGACCAGGCAACGTTTTTCCAATCTTCTATTGTCCAATTTCGATGAGCTTGTGCAAATTGTAGCCTCAGTTTCCTGTTCTTAGCTGAAAGGAGTGGCACCCGGCGTGGTCTTCTGCTGCTGTAGCCCATCTGCCTCAAAGTTCAACGTACTGTGCGTTCAGAGATGCTCTTCTGCCTACCTTGGTTGTAACAGGTGGTTATTTGAGTCACTGTTGCCTTTCTATCAGCTCGAACCAGTCTGGCCATTCTCCTCTGACCTCTGGCATCAACAAGGCATTTCCGCCCACAGAACTGCCGCTCACTGGATATTTTTTCTTTTTCGGACCATTCTCTGTAAACCCTAGAGATGGTTGTGCGTGAAAATCCCAGTAGATCAGCAGTTTCTGAAATACTCAGACCAGCCCTTCTGGCACCAACAACCATGCCACGTTCAAAGTCACTCAAATCACCTTTCTTCCCCATACTGATGCTCGGTTTGAACTGCAGGAGATTGTCTTGACCATGTCTACATGCCTAAATGCACTAAGTTGCCGCCATGTGATTGGCTGATTAGAAATTAAGTGTTAACGAGCAGTTGGACAGGTGTACCTAATAAAGTGGCTGGTGAGTGTACATCAAAAGGACAGAAATAAAAAGTAAAAAAAATAAAAATAACAATATTCAATTTAGATAATGATAGCAATAAAAACAATAATTAAGAATAAATACCCAATCTACATGCACTCCTGCAAAACTTGCAAAATGCCAAAAACTATTTCCTCTTGCTCAATGTCCGTCAAATTGAAGCCAAAGTGTTTCCAGATAACTGAAGTTGTCCTACTTTTCTTCTCAACCAAGTGCCGCCTTTCTGCAAATTCAATCGCTCGCTCGTATTATTGACACACATATTAGTGACACACACACACGTCGTACACTTGTTGCAGCTGCACATAACAGGGGCGCATTCAAGGTGTTTTTCCAGCACAGGAACTTACATACACGCGGCGCCGCATTAATTGTTTTCGTCGATTGTAATGTTTTTTTTATGGTAGTGAGAAGCCAAAATCAAAATCATGATTAAAATTCAATCAATTGTCCAGCACTAACCCCAGCTCCTCCCTTTCATGCTGTGCGTGAGTTTACCAGCATCATACTGCATGTATTGTCACTGTTTTATAACTGGGGATCTATACTCCTGCTCTCCACTGCCTTAGCTTTTAATCTACAGGAGATTTGCTCTGCTTTGCTGAGGATTGTCTTTCTACCTATGCATGTGGAAGAGCACAAATCTCCCAGAACAAAACCATCACTTCCTGCATGCAAATTAACATTTCCACTATCATGTTACCCCAGCTAAGGATCTACTGTGCACCCCAGGTCTCCTTGGTTCAAGTCTTGTGCATGTTTTGGCTCAAATAGACCTTCTGTTGTACTCAAAACCCCCTCTTCTGATCAGGCCTCATTAGACAGTAGCTCTGAGTCAACAAGCTCCTCTGCCAGCAGGACATTAAAAGTTTGTCAGAGTGAAATTCTAAGAGGAGCTATGAGTGATCAGAATAAGACACGTAACCACAAGAAAATTGTTGGTGCTGAACAATCACAAGTTAGAGAAGAAATAATGGAAGCGGGTGGATAAAAACTCAAAACACACCAATTATCTCCCTCAAAAAAAGGAAGAAAGAAAGAGAAATTGGCAAAGCAGCACTTCTTCTTCCAAGCAGTCTCCGCAGCCTTCCACCCCCCTTCTGAGATATGAATCTGTGTTGAAGGGCATTGTGGGAGAATTGTGTTATCAGCATTTACGGTAGGGGGGAACAGGCAGGGATGCTGCGGTCCCTGGGGGTCCAGTCATGATTAGATGATCAGGCGTGATGGCTCCAAACATATTTACCCTATGAACACATGATGTGTGCATGCGTGTGTGTGAGCCGCAACAGTGACAACATCAGCATATTTGCAGATAGCAGATACACAACAGGGAGACCCACTGGAGATGCAGATCGGTTTGTGTGAACTGTGTGTTTGCATTTTACAGCAGCACAGGAGGATCAAACCTGTCTGTGTGTGTGTACCCCTGTGTGATTGTTGACTTAATGAGTGTACCCCTGCTCCTTGAGTGGGCTCTTTTTCACAGCATGTGCACAGATCTACATCAGGGGGTGCTATTTTCTATGGCCCCCCTCCAGGGTTGGTTGTCACAGTGGTGAACACGGACAGCGGTGTGTTGTACGTGTTAAAAGAGGTGTGGAGGGATGGCAGAGTCTCATGCTATCGGCATCATCATGCCAGGCTGCTGATGGGAGACACACTTCACACACAGTGTGAGGGTAAGCAATTATTCCCTGTGCCTTTTATCCTCCTGAGATGGAGAGTGCCTGCCCATGGTGAACAATGCTGCTTTTGTGCTGCGCTATCAAAGATGGAAAATCAGTTCAGAGCCCTCCACTGCCCCACCTGTGAGATTACAATGGTGCCCATGTTTGTAGGTGAGCAGAAAGGCAGTCCTTTTGGTAGGTATTGTCTTTCTGCCACCCCCACTCTATTTACAAAGTTAACTATTAATTTCTGCAAAAGTTTTGGTTCAGTATAAACTATTTATACTAAACTTTGAAGTTGCAACAACTTTTTTTTCCACTTTTATGGTGAAAAACCCTCCAAAGCATGATGAGATGCAATTCTGGTACAGCCTTGGCAGTCGGCGCTGCCCAGACGCACAAGAGGACGAGAGTTCCAGCCCTGGCGGTCAGCCATGCAACAGGCACGCAGCTCCAACGAATGCTGACATCATGTCGGCTCTTTCCTCCATCCAGTCCTCCCTCTTTTCTATGAACACCAGGATCAAGACCCGGGAGGCTAATGCTCCAACTTCAACGCTGTTTCAATCCACAAGGCCTACTTTCCAAGACCGCGCTCGCACCACCTCCCCCACCGCAGGCCCATCATCGCTGCTCAAAGACGTCATCCTGGCCTCTTACGACAATGTTACTGTCCCGCAAAGAACCCTGGGTAGCGCAGTTCCCATCCCCACGGGCATCCCCTTCTACACTCCTGCAGCTGCATTTTCTCCTAATCTCAGGAGCCAGATCCTGGCAGGTAATGACATTAATTTAGTTAAGATCCTGCTGTTCTCCGATGTCAGTGATAAACGTGTGGTTGAAACGTGTGGAGACATTTCTGTTCTGCTGAAAGATAGCGATTCCAGGCTCTTCAAGTCCTTTGCAGAATTCACAGTGGCTTTTAGCATTTATGGGGACGTCATCTGTGAAGTATCCATCCCGTAGAGTTGAACTGGACACATACCTCCCCATCATCGCTGATCTCGCCATGACTTCTGGTGGAACTCTATTTTACGAATATAATAAATCTTTTTCTGTTACGGCTGTATGTTTATCCAGAGATTTAACCAAAGAGTGGACTGGTCCATCGTAGATCTGGCCCTGATCAGCAGGCGTTGTAGGCTCTTTCCTGCCTTATGTGCAACTCTTTCTCTCACTCCTCTAATTTATGCCCAAAATACGTGGCTATTGTAAATCCACCTAAAAGCCTTGGAACCGGGACCAAGGTGACACCCAACATAACCCCTATCTGTATTAATTTCAATGAAAATGTGTGCAAGTATACTAATTGTAAATATATCCATACTTGCAGCTTTTGTGGGGACAGCCACCCCAGATCTGTATGCCCAAGACGATCCCGCCCTGTGAGAAAGGAAAAGAAACAATAAAACCATCAACCCCTATCAATGTGCCTGAGCTAAGGAAGGCTTTGCAAAGCACCCCAACCACTGCTTTGACAATTACTTGATAACCAAACTTATTCAAGGTGTTTTGGCCGGTCTGGCATGGTTACCTAATGTGTCTTATGTGTGTAATATCTTACAATCTGCTTTAAAGGAGCCAGAGATAGTTGATGCTCCACTAGGGAAGGAACTTAGGAAAGGTTTGATGATGGTGAATCTGTCTGGATGATCAGGATAAGACTGTGGTTGTCCTGTCCGTGTTGCTCTTCTGTTTCTATCAGATAATAACAGCTCTCTGTGTGCTGTGTTTGGATCCAGTGTGATTCTTTGAGTATATCTTAAGAGACCAGCTCTGGTCTTGGGTTCTGGTTCCAACAGTGAAACATCCACTTCAGTCAGTGCCTGTGAGACGTTTGTCCTCATCTCTGTCAGAAGATCCTGGAGTTTATCTCTAAGGAGGTGACAGTAGCTGTGTCAGAGCTCAAAGTATCTCAGAGGTTGGATATTAATTCTGGGTGAGTCTGCAGGTTGACCTGGTCCTAACAGTGAGGGGTAGCTGTGCAGAAACTGGTTTTGGTCCTCTGAGTGAGAGCTTCTGCAGATCAGCGTCTTTCCTCTTCAGCTCAGTGATCTCCTGCTCCACCTTCTCCTAAAGCTCTTTGACTTGACTCACTTCACATTCCTGCTGGGATCTGACCGGCTGCTCCAAGTCAGAGCTGTGTTTATGCATGAGACTGATCAGCTGGCTGAAGATCTCCTGGTTGTGCTCCACTGCTTTATCAGCAGAGCCGTTGATAGCCTCCATCTCCTGTTGGAGCAGCTTCAGATCTTCCTCTCTGTCCTGGATTCTCTGCTGGACGTTTTCTTGACTCTCCTCCAGCTTTTTCTGCATGTCAGTCCTTTCTGCTGCAGCTGAGGCTGTGTCGTGACCTTTGTGTTGGTCCAAACAGCAGAGATGACAGATAGACTGCTGATCAGTGCGGCAGAACGTCTTCATCACCTCATCGTGACGAGAGCAGATGTTTTCTTGCAGCTTCTTGGAGGGCTCCACCAGCTTGTGTTTCTTAAACTGTACTACTTCAAAATGAGGCTGGAGGTGAGTCTGGCAGTATGAAACCAGACATTGCAGAAAGGACTTGACAGTTTTAAGTTTTCTCCCACTGAAGAAATACGAGGGAGGGAAATCCAGTTTTTCTACAATCCAGGAATCCAGCAATGTGAACTGTAGACTCTCAAACTCCAACAAGCAGAGGCTATAAAAGCTGCAGCAGTCCTGAAGATCAACTGCACAAACATTTATTCACCTCATACAAACCTCATGGATCGGAGAAAGATATGGAATCAGATTTGTGTCAATAATCATCAGACAAAACTTTTTTAATATCTAACAAAAATAAATATTTAAGTGAGAATAAAAAGCGAAATAAGTCCTCTCTAAAGTAAAACTTGTAACTTGCAAACAAATTATTTGTGCACTTGTGTAAACTACCGGTCTTTTACCTTTTCTCATAAATCCTTTTGTTTACAGTGTCCTCTGTTTCTTTCTTAGTGGCGAGATTTTTGGTCTCATTGCCAGTTATATAGTCTCACTGCCAGCTCTCTCATTTGCGCTTTTTGTTTTTAATTCTGACACAAACCCTTCGCGTGGGCAGGACTTTGCAGGGGTGTGGTGCCATTGGCTAGAGAGTTTTTGAGTGACAGCTCAGTGGTCGGAACTTACTCAGTGCTCATACCATCTCCTTAATCATCTCAGCCATGTGAGACCAAATATAAAAAATATTAACCAGGATTTTCTCCACTTCCTGGAACCACCACTTGCGCAGTAGCAATATACGCATTTGAGGGGTGGGGGTGGGGGGGGGTGGGGGGGGGGTTGCAGGGAGTCACTGTGATGACGCTTGGCTCAAACAGCGTATCCCCAGGTGAGCGACACAATCTTTGTAAGCCCATAGGTTGTATCAAGTGTCATTCATAGAAAACATAATAAATTTTAAAAATGGAGCTGTACAGACAAATTTATATTCTGTGTAAAAAAAATCGAAAGTTTGTCCACAACTCCATAGGGATTGCTGGAGGAGGCCGGGTTTATGACCTATACTGCAGCCTGTCACCAGAGGGTGCTGTTCTCACGCTGACTTCACCCAGCAAGGCAGCAGACGGCCTCCATTCTATATACAGTGTATGGTTAAAAATATTTCACCTTTTGGCCAGCTACCATTCCAGTTGGTGTCACCTCTGGAAAATTAACCAATCAGAATCAAGAAGAGGCAGTAATAATGATTTCAACAATAAGTCTGCTTGGAGGGGAAACTAACTACACTTGAATTTCCAGATCTAGAGCTTCTACTTGATTTCTATCAAATGATTTTTAAATTTTCACTGAAAATGACTTTTTTCATTACTTAGCAATAGTGAGCTTAAGTAAGAGGTGCTCTGAAATTAAGACCCCGGGTGCTGTCAGCACAAAACACAGCCAAAGTGAACACAGTCCCTTAAACCTGCAGGTTTAAACAGCTCATACCTGTCACACAAACATGCACTCATTAAATATTTCCTTACAAAAACACCCTCACAACAAACCTGCATATAGCTCCTCATAAACCTTACAAACACAAGATTGTGAGATATTAAGAAATGCTCTGTAATTTTGCATACCTCCCAGCTGTGCTGCTGAGAGTTAGACATGAAGATCTGAAGAAGACGTTGATGGAGGCTATTTGTTTCCCCTTGACACAAACCTGGCACCAAACTGCGCTAAATAACTCATGCAGACACTTTTGTATCGAACCCAAAGATGAAATTAGTATTGATCCTCCAGTCTAACTCTCTGTCAGACAGCAAGGAAGAAAATTTCACGACGGGTATTCCTGTGAAAGTTTGACTTTAGTTTGGCTTTACATGAACCAGAGCATTGTTACTAGACATCAGCTAAAAAAGAATGTTTTTCATAGCTGGGGCGACCAATCCACAGATAAGGATGCAGCTTTATTCACTTACAGTCATATCATTCACACTGCCCCTTTAAACAAAGACACCATCTTCAAAGTGTCACTGATGCTTGCAACAATCCCTCTCAATCTGTCCACTCAGAGAGTCTGTGTATTGTACAAGGGAGGTAAAGTGAACAACTCATCTCCCCCAGCTGGAGCTTACCATCGTAAATAAGGTAAATTAGACTAAAGGCTAGCTGTAAGAGCACACAATCAAAGTGAGGCTAAAGAGACAGGCCTTACAAGTGTTGGTAGATGAACCTGTGAGTGTTTTGTTGTTTGTGTGCTGCAAAGACAGAGAAGGCCGCTTTTACTCCTGATTGCAAGTCATTTTTTAAATCTCGCCCTCAATCTCCCCCTCCTTTCTCTCTGTCACTCTTTCTGTCTTTCCTTCTTGAGGCCATCTCTCACTTAATCTCCCTTTCTCTCCCTCTCCACCTTCAATTCAGTTTAATTTGCTCAGCTGGCATGGAAAGTATGCATTTATGTCAAGCAGGCATCCACAGGGGTAACGGATGGTGCAATAACCATAGGGAAACAATGCTCTCAAACAGGAGGGAGTAGGTATCGCTATTGAACCATTAAATAAGGGAACACTCAATGCACTGTGTGACTTTCCAAGAGGGAAACAACTGTCTCTTTCCTCCAAATGACTCCACTATCTACAAGAGGACTGATAGGACCGGGCCAGATCAGGGTGCAACATGACAAAACTACTTGGTGTGGTTTTTCCATTGTGCTTCCATTGTGCATGATATAGACTAGGGATGAGAAGATAAACAGATACGCGTCAATACGCGATCACATGCGTACAAGAGCAGCAAGAGCAGCGCATCGGTAGAGCAGCTGAGAGTGAGTGCAGTTTTGAATGCATATCGAGATGTGTCATTATTATATGTCTGTATCGATACAATCTGATCCGTTTATTACACAACTTTTATTTTTATGTTACCGAACCATTTTTAGGGCATAATTTCTTCAGACTTGTGGATGTACACTACAAATGAAAGTATCAGCTCCGTGGATGCACTAGATGCGCCGCAGATTAATACTAGCAAAGAGAAAGAGGGGTAAGGTAAACAAACATGTTGGACGCTAAGCAAATGTACCCTCTTCTGAGTTGTTATTCTAAAGTTTTGCAACACTACGAGTTTTACAAGAAAGACGAATGACTTGACGAGACAGATTTGCAAAATGTGCTGCACTGCTGTAAAATACACAAACAGTAGGACTAACCTGATAACTCGACGCCGTTGTCATGGAGGGGTCTGAAGGTGCCCCCACCTCCCCTGCTTCCAGCTCAGATTCACCTCTAGCCAGCAGCTCCGAAAGTGGTGAGCAAAGCATTCTTTCTCTGCAAAGATATTCAGCTTTACAGTGTAACAGAAAACAAAGGTTTCAAACACCTCCTCCATGTCTTGGAGCCTCGTTGTAAAATCCCAAATCGATAGCTATTCTCCGAAAAGCAGATCCCTGCCCTGTACAAAGTTAGAAAATAGATAGCAGAGTCACTAAGCAAAGCCCAAAGAGTAGCTCTGTCTCATGATTTGGGTGTAACCGTATCATATTGCATCGCATAATGCCACACATCTATCTTTAATACATCAGGTTGGAGACATCGTATCAAGATGCGTATCGTATCGGCCTTATACCCAACCCCTATATAGACCCATTCATGATGGAGGGTAGGTGAGAAGTCAAGGTATTATGTAACGCATGCACAACTACATGTGGTGCATTGAAGATGGTTCTGCTTTGATTAAGAGAAGAGTTGCATGGATGCACATCTTATGCTTTTACTGCATGAGTTGGTAAGGAGAAAAGAGCGAGAAAAAAAGGATGATTAAATAATAGTGCGACAAGCTTCAAATGGGAGAGGAATCACCCAAAATAATAAGTTGGGTCGCAGCTATTGAAGTTACCAGGTGACAGGAGCAGTGCTTGATAACAAAAGTAAAAAAGGTAGGAATAACTGATGATGAAACAGGAAATCCCCCAGTCCATGCAAGCTCCAAAGGCTGAGTCCTTTGTAAGCTGTATCCTTTGAAGGATGCAGCACCTAAACTGGGAAACAGCTATTGGCCATGGTTTTGAAACAAGAGGCTCTTTCTGCTTGGTGTGCAGTCTGTGGGTCCAAACAACATAACCGACCCATTTAAAAAATGCAGAACATGCTCAGATGAAACCCCCTGAAGTGGATGCATTGATTATTTCATGTTTTGGTTGCTTGTTTTCATCAGTGGAAATTAAAAGAAAGAAAACAAGACTACAATGGTTTCTGCCTCTATCAGGCCATCGGGATCTTTCCTACTTAACTTAACTTTCAGAAACAGCTGTGACATCTTCATATATCTGTGGGAGTTGCTCACATGTCTTATTTCCAAGAATATGACCCGCTAGACTTCACACTTAAATCATTATTCTGTTTTGAGAAAGTGATTTGTTCACAGTTAAAAGGTGTAATGATGTGATTAATTACAATAAACTTAACATTTTATGCATAATTGTCTACCCTATAGATTCTATTTATGCACAGTTGGATTATTGTGTGCTGAGGCACTGATGAGCTCAAACATTTACAGATACTGCATTTGTGTGTGTGTTTTTTTTAGGGGTTATAACCAGCACTACAGAGTTTATTGCAAGTCCTTTATAGAGAAGAAACAGCAGACTTGGATTCAGAGGAATAAAACCTCTGAACTGTAACTTGGTTTTGCTGGGATTTTCTCTGCCAGTCTCGACTTTCAACAGCCGACCTGCAAACTGACAGCAGTGACAGCAATGTGTCAAAAAAGTTGTCCATCCCATGAACTTCACACTGCATGTCTTTTGAGGAGGATTCATTATTTACTCAGAAGAAGGTATTTTAAGAAAAATGTCAGCTGGGGTGACACATTACATTGCATGCACATTGCGTCATTTCTGCACAAAGAGAAGAGAAGCATATGGTGGCTTTGTTTGATTAGACCTCATTATATCTAACTGGGCTTGGATGTGTGTTTTTGCATGAACCTGGTGGAAGTGCTGAAAATAGAAAGAACCTGCTAATTATCCATAATATTGTACCTTATCATCAAAGAAATACAATTAAAAAAACACCTTTATTATGCAAAACAGAAAATACTGTGATTACAACAGCAATAAGAGAGGCCTTTAGTTAATAGAAAGTGTTAAATTATTTAAACAAAATGAAGCAAAAATAGGATCTTGGTAATTCAGACTCATTAAGCACGGATATTTAACAATGACTTAAT